TGAGACATTAAAAAGACCGTGCATTTGGTTCCCTTTTCATAGGTGCAGTACTTGGCGTTTGTCCCTCCTGCATTTCATTATGTTGCTTTCAGACCAGCGCCCAAACCTATCAAAATCACTTTCCGTTTTGTTTCTGCCTTCCAGGGTATTAGCTATCCCATGTAATTTTGTATCATCTGCAAATTTAGTCAGAATTCCCTGCACTTCTTCATCCAAGTCACTAATAAAAATACTGCAGGGTACTGGACTGAGGATGGAGCCCCGTGGTACCCGCTCGTTACTTCTCCCCAGGAAGGCAGAACTGCATCAGCAGCTTTTGAGCAGCTCCCCTGCCCTGGGAAAGAGGGCAATGCAGCAACCTGGCCTGCAGGTAGCGACCATCTCCCCGCCTAAAGTGCTTGACGGGGGCTTCCGTATGGTATTTCTGCCGCACCCAGAAAAAGAGGTGCCAGGGCCAGCTTTCCTGATGTGAGAATTTTCTATTTGGAGAGAGGTGTAAGGCCTGTGTGCCAGGGCAAAGCTGGGGGTGGTTGGGCACCTGCCAAGGCTCCCCAGCCCAGCAGGGGCCCATGGACAAATACTCCTGGACTTGCTCCTCCTCCTTGTTCACCTGCCTCTTGCTCTGAACCAGTTGGGGGTGGTGCTGTGGAGGCACTGTGGTTGCCCAGCTTGCTTTCTCCCTACTTACGGACTGGGATGGAAAAGGCTGTGTGAAGGCCACGGAGGGCACCCATGGAAGGCACCCCGTGCTTGCCAGCAGCCTCAACATTTCCCCAGAGCGCTTGGCTCTGGGGAAAAGGACCAGCTTCCTTCTGTGCCCAGCGTTATTCCCCTTGCCAGTCCACTAAGAGGAGCTGTCTTATCTCATGACGGCCAAGTTCCTGCAGCAGCCTGAATCTTTTGTCAAAATGTTCCACCTATTGACTAACCTGATTCTGGCACGAGGGGCAGAGCAGCAATATATACCGAATGCTGGACATGTCATCCACCTGGTTTTTCTTTCAAGTGTAGCAAGCAAGCCTTTAGTCTGCTGATTTGACAGGTTCAGCTTCTGTGACAGAGAAAATGTGTTGCTGCCTAGACCTCTGTTTGAATAGTACGGACATTTTTAGAAAATAAATTATTTGCTGCTTAAAATGCTTGGCTGAGCACTGGAAGAACTGGTTTCTGGCTCCACTCAGCCATGAAGGTCACTGGACGACTTTGAGCTAGTTGCTTCCTTTCAGGCCAACCTACCTCACAGGGTTGTTGTGGTGAGGATAAAATAGAGGTATGTAAGTTGCCTTGCATTCCTCACTAGAGGAAAATAGTAACAATTAAGTTAAAGTGGGCAAAAATGTTTTGCAAGTATTGTGCCTATTACTGGAATGCTGAGATTGCATTATTTACCCGTTAATGCAGCATAAAGAAGAAGACATGGAGCTGTGAACCTCAATGCAAAACGTACCTCTGCATTTAGCAGGTGGCATTATGCAAGCTGCACCAACACCACCAGTTTCCAGAACGGTTTCCGCTTGCCCACTGCATGTTTCAGTCCTTCCAGTCGAAGTTGAGCGCAGACTTCAACTAGCAGATCGTGCTCTTGCTTTCTTTTAAAACTGGAAGTCCAGCATATTTCAAGGTACTGTCCTTCAGCACTGTTTTTTGCCTTCTGGGGAATAAGTGTCTTGTCATCCACCATGGCAGCCATTCTGTGAGGGTGTTCACAAGACCTGAGATCCCAGAACTGCTTGCGGAGCCCCAAAAGGTTGGGAACCAGTGGAGCCAGGTGCATGGGTAGTTCCTGGCTTGAGCTACAAAACTCGATCTCGGGTCATCAGTGAACTCACCGAACAGCCCAAGGCAAGCTGCTCTAATTCCACGCCCACAGCACCATCTGCAAGGTGGTAAGTGACTACCGGACAGGGGTTGTGAGGAGGATGCCTAAGATGGAGCGTTTTGCACACTGGGGGCAAGTGCTGCGTAAATGTGGCAAGCTTGGTGGGTGACAACTAGTGCTAGGCCTTTTCGGTGGTGGCGCCCCATCTTTGGAACAACCTCCCTGTTGTGGCCTGCCTTGCCCTCCATTTGCCATCCATCCATGGCTGGTCGAGACGCCTCTTTTCAAAGGCTTTTAACTACCACCTTGGTCATTCAGGGGCCTGATCCAATTATCAAGGTGCCTTTCTTTTACTCTTGGCTGGATCTTGTTTTATCTTTTAATGTCCGATGCGATATTAAATTAATTCTTAATTCTTGATCATTTTTATCTCTTGTTCTTTATTGTTTATATACTTTGTTGTAAACTGCCCAGAGAGCTTCAGCTATGGGTGGTATAGAAATCAAACAAACAAACAAACATTGTTATACATTTAGCTTTAGCAAACACCACACGAGACTTTAACAGGCACTTAGACATAGTTACTGCATGCAGGTTTTTTTAAAAAAACCCACTTCCAAGTGAGGTAATTCAAAGCCCTACACAAAAATTTATTATTATTATTATTATTATTATTATTATTATTATTATTATTATTATTTTGGGGGGGAGTGGGGGAAGGATCGACAGAGAAAGCAGATTTTTTTTTAACATTTGGCCAGGCTGTGCCTGAATGTACAGAAAGGTCTCTTTAAAATATATATTCACAGTGACAATATCTATGAGCATTTGCTGTCTTCTAGTAACACAGTTAAGGCTGAAGATGAACTGGAAAAACATGAAGTTGAAAAAGAAAATCAGCCATTCCTGAGAATACGACATCTCACAGTACAGGTATAACAATATAGCTTATTTTATTACTATTTTAATAAATGCTTTAACATCGCACATTTCATGCTCTTATAGATTATGATGCTGAGGTCAGGCAATGGGGAGAAATATAAAGAAGATACCATTCAGCATTACAGTACAAATTCAACCAAAAGAAAAGGAAAAAAACTGCATAAATACAGATATAAATAGCTGAATTTGCTTGTTTACCTTCCTTAAAATAATAGCTGCCTGAAACTGAACTGTCATATAAACTTGCATCATCACATTTTACTGAACTGATTGTACAGAAGAATAAGGAACATTTTTCAGAGACTTTACATAAATATATTCTTTCCAAGCAAGAAAAGTATAACTCTGGTGCACGGCCTCTTGTGTACTCTGGTGCATACACAGAGTTCTGGTGTGTACGGAGCTTCCACATGAACTCTAGAAGAGCATCCATCTTTGCATGAGCAGAGTTATGCCCCTGCAGATCGTCCATGCAAGCAAAGGCAAGAAGCCTTGAAGAGTGAGGAGCTCTGTGGGTGCGCCAGAAGCAAGGCACAGGTGCACAGGGCCATGACTTGAACCTTTTGTAACCCTTTTTAAAATATTGGAATACTGGCTCTGAATCAGTACTTCTCTCAACTGGATTCATTTCCCCCTGAAGACCTGACAAAACATGGCCATCTTTTGGAAGCCCTGTAGACCTTTCAGTTCGGCCTTTCTAAAGCAGCAGCAGTAGAGATGGAGGTATTCCACTTCTGTTTAATGTTCTCTGTTCTGAGCTAGGTTTCTGGAGGGTTCTGAGTATGCCAAGCAGAGCTGGCCACAACTATGAGCAAAGGAGTGCATCCGCGGAGAGCCAAACCAGTCACTGGGATAAATGCAGAACTGCCGCCAAAAATCATAGCAGGGTGTCTAGTACTCCCCTTCATAACACCTAGGAGAATGCACCCATGTTCCACTGTAGCAAAAGTTTGCATTTTTCCACTCCTCCTTCATGTGTTGACTGCCAATGCCCGACAGAAAGGAACTGCAAAGCACCATGATTTCAGACTGTAAGGTAAGTTCTACTAGTTATTATGAAGGCAGCTATTTCGAGCAGCTGCACAGCGACCACAAATGCTTGCTTAAACTTGAGGATAGGCGCATGCAGTCTTCAGACCTGTAGCCAATCTGGATCCACCTAATAACTTTTCCATCTAGCCCGCTTTTTGCTAGTTTGCTATGTGGAGAGATTGAGAGAACAGGGCATGTTCAGCCTGCTGAAGAGAAGACTGAGGAGAGCTTATGATCGCACTCTTCAAGTCCTTGAAAGGCTGTCACAGAGAGGAAGGTCGGGATCTCTTCTTGATCATCCCAGAGCGCAGCTGGCTTCGTTTGCAATGAAAGCAAGCACCAGTGCTGGATCTGCCTGGATGAACTTGGCGGAGGATTGGCAGAGAAAAGCTCTGAATGAACTGACTTCAACAAGAATATTGCTGGCCAACTGGTGCTAAGCTAGTTTGCCCCCCCCCCCCAGTGGTGCACTGGCGCAATAACAGACTAGCGACTGCAGGCGCCAGAACTTCTCCTGTGTGTACAACATTGCAGACTCCCTGGCAATATATGCCATATGCTAAATAAATAAATGCAGCACATGGAATAACAGGCACAATTTCCAGGAAGCCAGATTCCAGCTAACCACCAGGAAGAACTGCCTGACTGTTAGAGCAGTAAGACAATGGAACCAATGACCTAGGGAGGTGGTGGGCTCTCCCACTCTGGAGGCTTTCAAGATGCAGCTGGACAGCCACCTGAGAGGGATGGTTTGCCCTGGAGCCCTAGACTGAACAAGGGGAGGGGCCCTTTGGCCTCTTCCAACTCTACTATTTTGTGATTCTATGACTACAAAGGAGAGGCCAGAGTCCTCTGCAAAAGCCATTAACGTGTGCCCCAGTTCTTGGTGAGTCAAGGTGTTTGGTGTCTTTCTTGGCCATAATGTTTTTGTGCATAACACGCTGCTGATATGTCAAGGCATCAACTGGGCCGGTCCTTGCTCAGGGGCATGATGCTTCCAGACTTACATTTGCTGAGGATAATGATACCCTTAGAACCCTACATTTCAGCTCCCAAGAGAGCAATAACTGAATGTGAAGGTCTTTGACGTTGCATAGATAAAGCTCGCTGGCTTGGGGTCAAACCTGGTAAGGCATCACAAACAATATGGCAGGAATTGTAAACTAGCTGTGAAAGGGGGTAACAGGTGTGCTTTAATTCTCCTCACTTGATAATTCCAGTGCTGTGCAGCAGAAACTCCATCAACAGTGAATGAAGCAAACATTCTGTATTATTTAAATTTTCCTGCTACCTGGAAAATAAAGAACCTTTTGACGGAGGGCTGGTGGAAGATGCTTTACTGTGCTGTAGAGACAATATTTTCTGCTGGGATAAGATAAAAAATTATACATGTATAATGATGAAGCTAGGAGATGTGGCATAAGCAATTTTGCCAGGAAGCTGCCAACGAAGAAGTCAAATCTGCTCCAGGCGCCGCTTACGGAAACGCAATGCCAGCTTCACGATATACCCACAGAGCATAGGATGCTTTGTGCTTTTGTCACCAGGAGAGCAAACCCGGACGCCTTCCACCCTCCCCTGACTCCTTAGTCCAGCCTAATCAGCTGTCCAGATCTGCTTCTTCTTTAACTTTAAACTGGACTTGGACGGTCTAGACCTTCAAACAGAAGACCATCCTCTCCTCTCCAAATGGCCATCCTACTTTCTCCCAGATCGTCGTCTCCACTGCACCACACCATCACCGATCCTACCCCAAAGCTAGCTGGCATGACTCCTCAAAGGCACCATCACTTCCCTATGCCCATGCAACATGTACCATAGTCGAACTAAACCACACACTCAGCTGCCTCCAGAAGTGTCCTTATTTGAATGCACAAACAAGGAATGTTCAAACATTATATTTAAAGCTCCCCTACATATGTAGGGATGCAATAAATAAATAAATAAACAAACAAACAAATAAATTTCAAGTATCTCCAAATACCAGGGCCTTTGGGATGCCTTGAGTATATCTGAAAAGTAGTCTGGAAAAGCTGTTGCAACAAAACAAAGAAATCCAAAAACCAAACAAAGGAAAAAAACCTCCCAAACAAGCCCTAATATAAACCAGTTTACACCATAATTTGTAAATTATGGTTCACACCATAATTTACCAGTGGACACCATCATTTTTAATGGTGAAACACCACCCCAAAGTTAGAAGATCACATAAAATTGCTGCAAGTGCTCCTCTATGTTGAGCTCAATAGGCACTGCAAACCAAGAGAAAAGGTATACCAGTTTGAAAACTAATGCTATTTTCTTACGGGGGCACCTCCGTTTTACCAAAGAATACACTTCCATGGAAGAATTGTAGGGGCGTCTTCCCTCACTGCAAGCTTCCCCTATAAAAACTGACTGCAAAACCTTTAACTTCTGCAGGAAAAAAATGCAGTTTGCCGGCCAGCCTTCCCAGGACCAAATCTCTCAAGGTAGAAAAGTGTGGGAACAAGATGAAGTGGGCTCTGAGGCATGCTTTGGAGTCCTTCCAGAAGCAATGCTTGGAACCAAACACAGCCCAACAGCCTCTGCACTGGCTGTCCACTGAGAGGATGGCTGCTTTGGAAGGGGTGAATCCAAACATGGTCCCCGAAGACATGATGGGAGGGCGCATCGGCCCGGTAGCCGCTGCCTCCCAGTGCCTAAGCCACTGATCTAGCTTTCCATCACACACTGAGAGGGCTTCTCAGCCTCACAACAATACACAGAACGCGCTCTGGCACAGTTACTTAAACTTCCGCGGGGTCTGTTTCACATCATTCACTTTCAGCTTCTTGTCTGCTGCAGCTTTTTTGGAGGAAACGTAAGTATTTGCATTCCCATTCTTCTTGGGATTTGTGCATGCGTGGGCCGGGAGCCCCTTGAGAGGGACTGCTGAGCTATGAAACGAGGAGGGGGGTTTGTGGGGTCTCATGTTGCCTGCCCCCTGGATCATGGCACTGCTCTCAGAATGGTGCCTCCCACCCAGCTGCTGCCTGGGGGCGGTCCGCTTTTTCGCCTCCCTCCTCCCTTCGCAAGAATGTCCCTCGTGGGCTGATGACGAGCTGCAAGAGGCTTCAGCTGCCTTAGGGGGGCCCTCATAGGGGAGAAACTGACTGGCTCTTTCCCCACGCAAATCTCTCCTGGGACCTGCATGGCCCGTGGAGAGTCTTGCAAAGCTCTCATGCGGTGTCAGCTGTTTGCTTGGCAAAGGACTGTGCAAAGACTTGCTCTTGCCAGGGCTTTTTAATGTCCGGAGGGCGCTCGGAGCAGTCTGAGGCCTAGCTTTGGCCGCCTTCCCCTTCTCCGCTTGGATGGTTTGCATCTGAAGCCACTCCAGCTCCAGAAGCCGATCAACGTACCTCTCAAGGAAGCCCACCGGCTCCGGTCGTGGCTCTGACCTGCACTCCGTGTTGACAAACGCTGCAAGCCCTTTCAGGTCCCAGGTGTTGAAAGGGGGTGGGAGAAAGTCGGGGTAATAGTAGTCCGATTGCTTAAACTTTTCATCAAAGAGGTGCTCAAAGCTAAGAGGGTCGATTTCTTCTGCTCGGAGGTCAAGCTTCGGGGGCGTGCAGGGGGAAGGGGGGATGGGGATTCTCTCGGAGTCAGAAAGATCACTGGCACTGTCCTCATCCGAATCCTCTTTCAAAATCTGCATGGATTTAAAGTCAAGAAACATTGCATCAGCAGACGCGCCCTGATACATCAGACTGCAGGAGCTGGCTTCAGCCAGCTGCCCCCCCGAGTGGCTCTCTGAGCTCCTTTTTTGTTCACAGGGAAAGCTCTGGGACAGCGCGCCTTCCGCCCTGCTGGACTCACTCCACGAAACATCTTTAAATGGCGCAGAGATTTTGCTTGGTCCAACTTCATCCTGCTTTCTAACCAGAGGCTCCTTTTTTAACCGTGATGCTCTAGATGAGGAAGTGCAAACGCTTGCTATTCTAGATGAGAAAAGAAATATTAACAAGAATCAGTCTTTTTTAATATAATCACAAATGTCTGATTAGAATCAGAGAACAAAGATAGGAAAGACAAAATGCATCAACAAATATGACACAAGGAAATAATACAAAGTAGCCACAAAAGGTTTCATAAATATCTTGGTTGTTACATCAGGTGGTCTTTACTGTGATGGTCTGTACACAATTATCTCTAAGTTTTTCAGCCACCACTGCAAACAAGATTATCCTAGAAATAAGAAATTGAGCCATTTCAACTCAGAGGTAGAACATCTGTAAAACCCAATAAAGTAGTTTGAGAGCTGGACAAGAAATTTTATTTGGGTGTTTTATCAATGGACACAGAGAACACAATGGGAGATATGTTCCATTGTATTTTGGGTGCATATGCCAAAGTAACTGAGCTGGCAGTCCAGTGTATCTGCTATCTGAGGCATTGAGGGCATTTTTGGAAGTGTAATCTCATCAGTATTTTCATCAAAGCAGAGAGTATTAGTGGCCCACCTTGATGAAGTATAATTGCAACTGAGGACTCAAAATTATTCCTATATCTTGTGAGGTATCCTTCCCAAAAACCTTGTATTTACATTGCAGTCCTATACGTCCAAAAATGGCACCAATAAATTCACTGGGGCTTGCTAAAGATACAGCAGTATGGGATTGCAGCCAGAATTATTTATAGTTTAAATGTATTAGACTCAGTGCTTTTTTACCAACTCCAAAGCTAATGCAACACTATATCTACTAATAAAGCATAATGCAATCCTTTGGCCCTGTAATTGCAGATTTAGATTGATTTATTATTTATTCTGCTTGAAGCACTGACTATAAAGGTTTGGGCAACTTGAGCCAGTTTGAAAATAACAGTCTCTGCACCATCACTAAATGAAGTCCAGACCCTGCACACTTTGCAGCAGCAGGCATTTCTCAAGGACAACAAAGATGAGATCTCAAGAGCTGAGACTGGACCGTCTTGAAGGTGTGCTTCTAGATCGAGAGAGGTATTACTGCCATTCTATATGACTCTGGTGCGCCTGCAACTGGAGTACTGTGCTCAGTGTTGGGCCCCTCATTACAGAAAGGATACGAGTCAGTGCAGCGTCGGGCCACAAGGCTGGTGGCCGGTTTGCAGGGGATGGGGTATGAGGCGAGACTGAGGGAACTGGGTCTCTTCAGCCTGGAGAAGAGGAGACTCAGAGGGGATATGTTGGCGACATACAGGTCTGTGAGGGGATGTCACACAGAGATGGGTAGAGACCTGTTCTCCCCTGCAGAGGAAGGCAGGACGCGCTCCAACAGAGCAAAGCTCAGGGAACCAAGGTTCCATTTAGATGGCAGGAAGCACTTCCTGACAGTTAGGACCCCGAGGGTGTGGAATGGGCTTCCATGGGAGGTGGTTGAGGCCCCATTGGTAAGGGTGTTCAAAGAAAGGCTGGACATGCACATGGTGGGCATGTCATGAGCAGAGACGGCTGGAGCCGGGGATCAGACTAGATGGCCCAGGAGGCCCCTTCTAACTCGCTCTGTTTCTATGGTTCTATGTTTACCACTCGGTGGCTAGGGTCAGATAGGACAACAAACCACAGTGGGGGGGGGTTTAGCATGGTTGGTTGGTTGTCTTAAACCACTCATGGTGTTTCACCATGGTAAGTTTGATCTTTAGAAACCACTGTAAGAAACAATGGTTTGTTCTGTGGTTTCTCTGTAACACTATGGCTTGCCATGGTGACTGAACCCAGATTCATGGTTTTCACAGTCCTGGTACCATGAAATCCTCTGGAAAGAGGAGCAACTGCAGGAGCCACTCAAGTCATCCAACTTTTATGTGTGGACTGATGTGGAAGAGGCAGGCAATTTAGGCCAGGAGTGATGCACCTTGGGACTGAATCTCAGGCACAGTGGCTTATGGGATACATGATAACAGCAGGAGGACTTAGTATGGAGGATGGAACCCATGATGAAGTTGAAGCCACTCAACTTTTTGTCAGGTAGCGCATGGCTAAAAACCATCAACTATGGTAACCATGCAGAAGCCCTGCACTCACACACGACCATCTTGTGTGAGTGTAGCCAGCCTCCAGGAACAGAGTGGCCAAAGGAAAGAAGGCAGGGCTTCTGCATCTTTAAGAGCTGTGCAAAACAGCAAATTTCAGCGGGTGTTGAAGAGCCGTCGTGTCTGTTATGAAAGGTGTACCAGCCCTGCCTTCTCTTGTATTTGCATCTGCCTACCCCTTGACTTTCTCTGTGAATTAGGCAGCTATTTTAACCACAACTTACGCAGAAGGACCAACAACTTAGTACTGTTTGTGGAAAAATCCCTGACCTCAGAGATTAACAACTTTGCAAAGAGCACTGAACAGAAGCTCCAGTTATTTAAATATAGTGATCTGTTCTGTGCTAAAGCCATTTATGGAAACATAAAAACATAGAAACAGAGCGAGTCAGAAGGGGCCTCCTGGGCCATCTGGTCTGAACCCCGGCTCAAGGCAGCTCCACTCATGACATGTCTACCCTGGATTACATATGCCTTGAAGGTCTCATCCAGAATGTGACCACTACAGTTTTTACTGTTAAATATACAAAGAGGGTTATTTCCTATTTAAAAAGCATGCTTACTTACTAAAACATGGACGAGGAGAAACCAGTTAATGCTGAAACTCTATGGACACATACCAGGGACTCCCATTCAAAATTCCCTTGAACTGAGTGGTTTTTACTTTCGACTAGACTAGACATAGGATTGTGCATATCTACAGCACACCTGGGAACTGACTATTCAATTCTAATGAGAATCCCCCAGTCTTTTAGTAGCCTATTTGCATGGTATAAGACAATCTAGCACATTCTTTATGCTGAGATGAGACCCATCAAGTTCTATGGAATTTACTCTGCATAGCCCAATTAAACATTCAGTGTTCGGTCTTTTAGATTGTCTGGATCCTACCCTCCACCCCATGAGCATCCCAAGTGTCAAGATCAGTGCCAGAGACCCTACTCCCTGGTCCACCAAGAAGAGCTGCTGGGTCGGCAGGTGATGAGGACAAGGCTTCTAGCCAGCAGCCCACACTTTTGGAACACCTTTCGCAAGGAGGTGCATATGGCTTGACCACAAATGGCTTTAAAATGCAAATTCGGGAGACATGCTTCACTGAGTTCTGTTGTACTTGGAAAAGACATTGTTGTACTTGAAAAAACAATAATCTGCTGCTGGTGGTTCTCATCATCCACCCCTTCCTATTATTTTGTGGTTTACATGTTGAAATTTTAATTCTATTTTCATGTGATTTAGAGTCTTGCAAGGCAGTCTATGAGGGCAGGGTATCCTGAAAAGCTGTTTAAAGCATGATTTAGTAAGTACACTGAATTGTACCTTTGAGCTTAAGCAGATGTGGATATGTTAACAATATATTTAATCATTAAGGTGGAGCAAATGAATTACAATTTGGAACTGAAATGAAAACCTGGCATTTATATTAAGGGAGAGAGATACAAAAGTAAACATAGACATTCACTGGCTGCTTAGACAAATGCCATGCTTGGATCAGTGCTATTCAATTCATCTCAGCCCAGCTATGTTCCTGATTGTGTGAGTTTCTCTCTCTCTCTCTTGTTCTGAAGATATGTTCCAAAAGGGCTCCTATTTTAGGACTTTGCCTAATTAGTATACAGTGAATAAGAAGCACCTGACAACTTGCCAGCATGTAAGGAAACAAAATGTATTCTTTGATGTGAAAATTAAATAAGCATGCATCCAGCCCACAGTGGCTGCCACTGAAGTGTTGAAGTAGCCGTTTCTCAAGGTCAAAGCTGTAGTCACAAGCACAAATTCACACACCCTGAAGAAGCCTAAGTTTGCTAGCCATGGGTTCATCTCCCCCCACCCCATTTCAGTTCTCGCTGGGGCTGACAGCTGAAATAGTCCAGATTACCTGGAGAGCACCAAGTGGCCTCCCCTTGAACTAAACCAGTCCACTTGGATGAGCTGACTTCATAAGGAACTCAGTTGCTGAACAATCTGACACATCTCCCTGTGGAAGAAACCTATATATCCCTACAGAAGCCTTCCTGAATTCTTCAGGAAGACACTAGCAGCAGCAGAACTGTGCTTCTTCACTAGACCACAACCAAAAGATCCATATGCATAGCTACAATAACATCTGTGTGGGCCTCTAACTAGGAACTTTCTCTTCCAGCCGCAACCCTGTTGGACCTCACTGAATGTTTCAGAGGAAAAAGGGCTACACTTTCAGAGCAGCAAGTATACACAGGGCAGAGCAATTGTCACTTCCTTCCAACATCTTGGAATTGGCCATCCGGGCAGGAATAAAATCATGGAAGACCAAAGACCATGGTCTCCAGCTTGAACAGCCAAGAAGGCCATGGCTGATTGTACTGAAGCCCACTGAAATAACCAGCAGACCTAACAGGGTTATCCTTCCATCTGACCATCTACAGCATGGATCTAATTGCCATAAACAGGCAATTAAGGACTAGCATCATCAAAGAAAGAAAGGAGTTGAATGGCAACCCACTGCTGGGCCGTGTTTCCAAAAGAGGATACATTTGCAGCCGGCCAGTCCTTGAAATCCACTTTCATATCCCATTCCTGGAAATTCCGCAAACCTTGACCATACTTATCTTTATGTTTCTTCCTGCTCATAGCCATTCCCTCTCTTTTCAGCAACATTACACACCATTCTCTTCCACAGTTGAACGCATATCAAAGAAACAGAGAGCCAGTGTGGTGTAGTGGTTAAGAGCATGGGACTGGGACTCAGACGATCTGGGTTCTACTCCCCGCTCGGCCATGGAGCCACCTGATGACTTTGGGCCAGTCACAGACTCTCAGCCCAACCTACCTCGCAGGGCTGTTGTTCTGGGGATAAGATGGAGGAGGAGAATGATATAAGCTGCCTTGAGCCCTTTGTAGGAAAAAGGATACAAATCGAAAAATAAATAAATAAATAAAACATTACCTGTTTTGTTGATGATCTTCACAAAAGCGGCTTTTTTCTTTCCAGTGAACATTTATCTGTCTGTTTTCTGTAACCTGACAGCAAGACCAAAAGATATTAATAACTGTGTAATTATAATTGCAATAAAGAAAAAAACCCTCTTATGCCTATGAATAATGTGCACAAAACATGAATTTAAGAATCTTCACCTTTTCACTAACAGCAGGAAGATTTTTGGCTGGTCTGTTGGAAGAAGTTCTTACATGGGGTGGTGATTTCTTTGGTTCCTTGGCACTTGGATGGCTCTTTCCTCCACTGGAACTTGTAGTGATTAAAAAGAGCTATTTTCAGAGATTCATGTTTTTTTAAAAAATCACACAAGCAATTCTTTACCTCAACAGAATGAGCTTATATATTCACAGTTTGCAGACATTTCAACTTATGCTAAAAATCTCTGTAATTCTTCTATGGTTGTTAGTCTTACAGATGAGAGTAAAAAAGATCCATGTAGAATTTTCATTAGCTGAAATGCTTTATTTTATATCTTTTTACTATTTGTATGCTGGGTTTGTGGAGATTTATGCAACATTAGCTATGAAAGAATTGCACTGCAGAGATTTCTCAACTTGCAGCTGATACCAAGGTTAGAACTTCCTATCTCTCCCTCTCTCCCTAAACAACCAAAAATTCTTGACTTTAGAAAAAGATTAAAGGAAAGCCAGTTTTAGTTTGCTATGTTTTCCAAGGTTCTCTCCCTGTTTCTGCTTTGTCAACAGTTCTGGGAGCCTGAAAATGTTTTCATCAAGAAGTCAAGTAATTCAAGAAGTAATTCAAATGTTTCCATCAAGAAGTCAAGACAATTATCCCTATTTGCTGACAACCAGATGGTTTCCCTTATTCAACCCCCCAGGATTCTGACTCATGCCCATGTGCCACTATTGTACAATTTTCCAGACAATAATTATTCAAAATATAAGGACTTCCTACTGTGTTGGTTTTTGTGATGCTGCCTTGGCAGGAAAGGGTGCGGGAAATGCCAATAGAAACATGCCACCACTGGTGTCCACATATGCAAATACTCCGTATTAGATGCTGTGGGTTTTAAGATAAAGAAAAAAACACAAAGATGTAAAGGAGAATGATAATGTGGGAGTCCTAAGGCCAGTAGGTAACTTTCAAGTACCTTATAATTTACTGATCAGTTCACACAAACATGGGCTGGTTAATAATTTACATCTACTCCAAGCAGGCCAGATGGCCTTTAACAGCGCCATTTCCTGTGATATCTGAAGCAGGCAAGGGTGGATGATGGGAGTGGTTAACAAACCCTTGGTCTGATGGGTGGTTCTTTAAGCAGCCCAAGCAAAGGACTGTTGCCAGGTATGGACAGCAAGCAACCCTGGCAAAGGCGTTTATGTACGTAAGACCAGCAGGCATGCAAACGGCATGACCGGAATGGTTATCAAACACCCTGTGATCATGCAAACTGGGTCACTGTCTCTTGTTGAACATGTGGACAGCTGTGCAGGAATCAAAAATGGTCCTCTAACCCACATAATGAAGTAAAAGGCAATATATGTTTATTATTACAGTTTGTGTGAACGTGCAGAGGAGCGACGGAAGGCCACCTCTCCATGGTAGAGTGGTTGCTTTGCACACGGAAGGTCCCAGATTCAATGCTCAGCACCTCAAGAAGGTAAGTTAAACCCAATGGAGCGCTGCTATCAGGCAGTCACAACAATACTTGGCTAGATGGACCAGTGGTCAAACTCCAGTATAATGTATTCTCCTGCAATAGTAAGGCGTGCATTATACAGCACACAGTTAACTTAAAAGGAATTCTCTGCCACATGTTAAGCCCACATACTCAGAGGGCTTTAAATAGCCAAATTCAAGAAAGAGACAGCTATCAGTTCTATGGACCCTCCATGTTCATAAGCAGTCTACCTGCACATACCAAATGCTGGGGAAAGACACCACTACAAATCTGCTTAGTAGTACTAGAAGCAAAATGTTGCCCAGACCCTGCATCTGGACCAGCAGGATTATTCTTCTGCCTTTACTTTAACATTTAGCATCCATTCTAGATCTTAAATGATATGTTGCATTTGCTATTTGAAATGGCATATACTACATGTTTGCTTGCCTTTCTGATGCAGTTTGTAGCCCATCTGATTTTAAAGCAGCTACTCCTACAGAACACCAGCAAAGTTTAACCTCTTTAAATGTTTTCCACTTTGAATTGAAGCTTTGACTCAAGACAGTCACACAGCAAAACATTCATAACACTGACAGATGCATAATGGGCTGGAAGGAAACAGTGGCAGTGAACACATGTGTGTCCTCAAGCTAACAAGGCATGCTGCTCTAATTTTGTGTTATAAACTGGACAGTTCTCCCACTTCCTTTCCAACAATTATCCCCCACAAAAAGTCCGGTTCTCTAATTCTGTATTTTTGTTACAACAATCCGCTACCACATAAGTATATTGCTCATGCTGCATTTTAATCTGCTTCCTGTGCGTGTGTGTGGTATTTTGGTTGTTGGCCCCAGTATTAGTCAATAATGCCAAGAAACAAACACGAAGAGCCAGAGTGGTGATCAGTGTGTTAGCCTGGGGATCTGGCAGATCTGGGCTCTAGTCCCCACTCAGCCATGAAGCTTTGGGCCAGTCACTCCCTCTCAGACCAGCCTACCTTACAGGGTCGTTGTTGTGAGACTAAAATGGAGCTATGCAAGCCACCTTGGTTTCCTCTCAAGAGGAAAAGAACCGGGATATGCATTATTATGTAATCACGATAATGCCTATGAGTCTTTGCAAAGTCCTAGCATAATGCATCAGAGAAGGAGATGCGTAACAGCTGCCGCTCTTTCACGGAACTTCATAAGCAGCGGCCCGCTCCTCCCACTGAACTACCTCCTTAAACAGACCCAGACGCGCCAAGCGAGATCCTTACGTTACCCTTCCTTCTCCTTGGTGGATTTCATGAACCGAAACGTCCTTTCGCAGGCTGCCCCTGCGCAGCAAGAAGGGATAATCCCGAATGCCCGGCCCCATCCTAGCGGGGCTCGCACATCTCCTTCTCTCCTTCCTACCCCTTCGTCCCCTTTTTGCTTTTATATGGGCTTGTGCAAAAGCAGACGCGAAGGAGATCTGCGGCGCCGCCAGCAGCGGAGCCCTCTGTGCAGCCAAGGCACGGGGCTCGACAGATCCTACGGCGGCGGCTGCGGCGGCTGCAGTAAACAAACGCCACGCATCGCTCTTGGCGGGACTGCGCTGCTGCTAACGGAGCGCTTCCCGGAATCGCCGCTCTCCGCCGGCTGCGCGAGACCGCGCGCCCCGCTGCTGCTCCCCCGGGGCCCCCGGCGAGCTCCTCGCCCGCCGGTCCTCGACGCCGCTGAGCAACGAGCGGGGGCAGGTCGCGGCGGGCGCAAAGCATTGTGGGCGCCGGAGAGAGCCGCGCAGCGCCACCTGTGCGCAGAGCGGGTTGCGCGCCTCGCCGAGCCGGACGTGCCCGGGCGCTGCGGTGCTCCGACGGCCCCTTTGGGATGTCGCTCACTGTCGCGCGGCGAACGGGTCTCGGCTTCTTCGCGGCCGGTTAGGACGGACTGCCAGCGCTGGTTGAGAAAATGAGGGCATCGCGCCATTTTGCATTGGACGTCCGCTTAAATTCTCGCACCCTCATCACAGCCACAGGGGCTTGCTACGGCTGTCCCCGGCCCCTTGCTGCTCCCGGGGTGGTCATCTGGATCCATAGGCCAAAGAAGAAGACAAATCCTGGAGGTCCAGAAGTTGCCCACTCCTGACTCGATGGAACATTGCAAAGATAGACCCAGAATCACAGTCCATCGTGCTTGAGTGCAACATAGTTCTGAATTTAAGGATGTGGAAAACATGATTCTACTGCATATAATGGGCTGGGGAGAAGGTTTGGGGAGGTGAATTATTTTGGCTGAGGATTTTTGGAGGACTGAGATGTGACAACGTGCTGGGAGAAGTGGTAGCTTGTGTTAGTCAAAGAAGACAAGAATGTGAAAGCGAGTTCAGCCCAGGGATGGAGACGAAGTAGATTTTCAAATGTTTTACAGGGAAAAGTGATACGAGTTGGCGGGAAAAGTAATATGGGGAATGAAGGTGAGTGGTGACTGAAACACAGTATCAAGCGAGGCAGTGGGCATCAGGAACAGAACTGGTGTCAATTTCCACTGATAAAGAGAATAATCAAAGATATAAGGGCTGAGAACGTGTGATGTTTGGTCATGGATATACTGAATTTAAGATAGGAAAGAGGACGATATCAGACAAAGGGTGAATGGAGGTGGAATGGTCCCTAGGATCGCCAACTGACCCAGGGAAAGCCTGACTGCTCTTATGCAATGTAGAGCACCTTGATGTGTTGAAATTAGCAGATAAAACTTTTGACAGATGCATAGCTACATGGTCAGTTGGATACTTGAAAACAGTAAAACTCTGAATGGAGAGGAAAGTTAGGTAGCATCAGCCTATAGATCACAATGGTCACAAAGAAATCTTCCAGGTCACCTGCAAGTTTTCTTTAGAATATACAAAGTTCAATCTGGAAAAGGTTTTCTGCAAGAAAAACTATAGGATGGAGTTTTTCTGTGATCATATGTAATAGGCAATTAAAAAAGAATTATAATTTCATAAATGTTGCTGCAACATATTGTTAATTTTAAAATTTAATCCTATGCAAGTTCAGACAGAAAAAAGGCTTATGGCCAGCTGGTGAGTCCTGGGAGTTGTGTTTCTTTTCTTTCATGCATAGAATTGCACCACTAATTAACTCGCTTTGAATCAAGATAGTTGCTTTGAAGAAATCGGCTGGGGTGTGTTGGGGGGCGGGCGGGAGAGAAATTTTACCAGGATGCAAGGATGCCCAGGTTTCAGGGATAACCCAGGGAACCTGGCAAGCAAAAACACACTCTTTGGAACTGGAGCATTTTAGGGATTAATAGACGGAGAGCACAAATTCGAAGCTTGCTTCCTCAATAAATTCCACTTCATGAAAAGGGTTTTACTCCTCGGCAAGTGCGTATAGGGCAGCACCCTGAGTCCGTGTAATCAATACACTTGAAAGGCAGCGGGATTTTTCAGTCTCCTCCTAGCTCAAGCCCCAGCATAGCCACGACTGCCACGGACTGCCCTGGGGCAGAGCAGTGCATCCATCCCACGCTTGCCCAAATCCCTCCGTCTTCGCTCCGCCCCGGTCTTTGCTTCCTCGCGTTTAAAAACCCCACGTCCCTCCCCGCGTTGCGGGCGGAAGAGCGGGTGCGGCGGCTTCCCCTCCTCGTGGCGCGCAGGCGCGGGCTGAGCCAGGCCCACGAGGGGCGGTGCGCGGAGACGTCACAGAGGGCGGCGGCGCCGTCCCGCGGCGGCAGCGGGGCCGGGCACTTTGGGGATGTCAGCTGACCCGCGGGGCGGCTCCCTTCCCCGGCAAGGCGGCGAGCACCTGCGGCCCCCTTCTGTGCGCCTGGCCGGGGCTGCTCGGGGCCTCGGCGCGCCTGCGACGCGAGGCGGCGGAGCGAGGGACCCGCCCGGGAACGCCTTCCTCCGCACAGAGCCTGAGCGCGGCTGCATGTGGGCTCCCGACTCCCCCGGCGTGGACTCCACCTCCAGCCAGTGCCGCAGCCTGAGCTTGCCCCCCGCCAGCCCCACCATTCAAGCGGACAGCCTCCAGACGCCCCCCAGCCCCGGAGGCGTCCTCCAGACGGCGGCCTCCAGCTTGTCTGCCAGCCTCGATTCCCTCTGCGCCCAGCCGCACGGCCCACCAGCGCCGCTCAGCCCAGGAGAGCCGCTGGATTCCTCCAGTATCCAGACAGACAGCCTCGATTCCCTGGCTGGGCGCTGCGAGAGCCTTGCCTCCTTCAGCCTTCTCCAGGACAGCCTCCAGCAGCTGGACAGCCTTGAATCCATCAGGAGCCGCCTCCGGTTGGTTTTCAGCCTTGGCGACAGCCTGGAAACCTCCAGTGTCCATCCGGACAGCCTCCAGTCTGCAGCCAGTTTGTGCGACAGCACCCAGGCCTCCAGCCTCCAGTGCGACAGCCTTGATTCCCCCTGCAGCCTGTGTGACAGCCTCGAGACCTCCATCGCTCGGCCTCATTACCCTGGATCCTACAGCTTCTGACTAGCACCTGTGGTAAATTCTCTTCACCACCTATCCCAAGCCTAAAGCGGCTCTCATAAGAGCTGTGGAAGCAACCGCTAGGCCTCTATCATCAGTGCCTCTCTTCTTGCCAACTTCGAAGCCTTATCCTCCATGTCGCAACGAAAGTCGTTGACAGGAATGGCAACCTCCACGCAAGCCACTGCTTTGCAAGAGCCGATGGGGTCACGGCCCCCACAGCGGAGCCCCAGCTACCTTTCCGATCTGTACCAGAACATGCTGCGGGATGCAGAAGCTCGGCGTGCGGAGCAGAGGAAGGGCCAGCCGCTGCACAGCAGCAGTAGCACCAGCCTTTTGACTAGCTCACTCAGTGAGGAGACGCATGCTCAGGGTGCCCCAGTAACCAGCTGTGACCCGCATCTTAGGCCCATCATGCGCCGACGGGCCAGGTCCTTGCCCAGCTCTCCAGAGAGAAGGAAGGGCATGATGGCACCGTGCCGAGTTCCAGGATGCAGCACGCGCAGGAACCGTGTCAGGTTTGCCGATGCTTTGGGCCTGGAACTGGCTGAAGTGAAGGTGTTTCAAGCTGGGGAAGACCCGTCGATTCCCTTGCACGTGCTGTCTCGCCTGTCGATCAATTCGGATCTTTGTTGCAGCAGGCTGGACCTGGAATTCACCATGCAGTGCCTGGTGCCTGACTTCCAGCAGCCCGCTGACTGTGAGGACTTCTCCAGCCGGCTGCAGCAGCAGCAAGTGTGCCTGGAACGCGTGAGCAGCTCAGACCTGGGCCTGAACGGCACTGTCAGAGTGATCAACTTGGCCTTCGAGAAGCAGGTCACAGTGCGCTACACCTTCAACCACTGGCGGGGCCAGCATGAGGTCCATGCTCAGTGGCATAGCAGTGTTCCCAGAAATGATGGGTGGGAGCAGGTGGATGCCTTCACATTCTTCCTTCCTCTGCCACCTTTCCTCCTCCAGCTTAGCTCAGGGGTGGAGTTTGCAGTACTCTACCGTGTCAATGGACAGGAGTACTGGGATAACAATCAAGGGAAGAACTATACCTTCACATGCAGGAGTCATCCGCTGAAGATGCCCAGAGAATGTGAGGAGAGCTGGATTCACTTCATCTAAGCAGAACGAGGAGATGAAGAGGTGGTTGTTCATTGCCGGTCCTGTCTGGCATCTCTCTTATTCCTGAGGCACCAAAGAAATCCTTCAGAATAAAAGAATAAGAAGTGATATGCAGAAAAGTTATTTAGAGAAGAGGGTTTTTTAAAGAAGGATACAAGGTTATTGCTTGCATTGATTTATACCCCAAACACTTGTTTGTGTGTGTGCGTGTGTGTAAATCTGCAGAAAAGACAATGTCAGGAGAAGGCAGGCCAGTGTCCTTTGCCGTTTTGATTAACTCTTTCAGTAGATTAAATTATATAGAGTATTTTAAAATGTATGATTTCTTTTTTCACCCTGACCCCAATCCTGACACTGTCTGTAGTGTTGCACTTAGTCAATGCACTTTTGCACTTCGGGGGGGGGGGGGTAGGTCTTTGGCAAATGGGACACAGTCAATTTGCTTTTGCTGCTTTTTAGCAGAAAAAGAATGTTGCACAGTTCTAATGCACTGGTTAAATACAGCAGGGCCTGTGCTGCAGGAAGGGATGTTCATAAATACTATAAATATTTACATGGTTTTTTAATACAGTGTGTTTTATAAAATAAACATGGCAGTATACATTAGATATTTAAATTCTCAAATACTAATAAATTATATAGTAGACAAATCACACCTGCCTTTGCTGGAAGAATTCTTGTCCTTTCCAGGTTAAGGTCAAAGTAGATAAGGTTGCGGGAGACAAAGAGTGGGCAGGAATAGCATAGAGCTGCTTGTTTCCTAGCTTGATTTGTTCTGCAGAATAGGGACAATTTTGCAATGTGTTCCATTTGAGGATATTGGAATGTTGCACCAATCACTAGCTCCTGTAAAGCACTGAAGTAATCTATTGCTGTAAAGTTAGATAAGCACATGAGGGTGATTGGCCAAGAAATTACAGCCAATAGTTGAAAGCGGAAATGATGCTGAACTTAAAAAGCAAATTCACTGTGCCAGTTTGGACAACACTGCAGCCCATCATGGCTTAATTAATCCTCAAGGAGTGTTCTCCACATTTCTAAGTGCCACATGACAGCTCATTGCAGGTTAATTAAACCTTGAGGAGCTGCAGTGCATGCTGCCCACCATTGCAAATGTGCAGCCTCCAACTGGGAGTTGCTGTGTCTTGTCATGCCGTGCTGTCCGTGCATTATGTGCAAAATTGCTTAACCCTTGATAATGCTCCGTGGGCAGGTTCAGCGGCAGACCAAGCCAGGGCAAGTCCCCAGTTGGGGGTTGTGTACTCATAATAATGGATGTCTCTCATCACAGCCCCTCAGGGTTTAACTACCCCACCGTGAGCTGTCATACAACATCAAGTCATTCTCTGAGATGCTTCAACAAAAGCTGGGAGAGGACTTTGTTATCTTTATTATAGCTAGGGATGTCTGATACATGATCTCTGATGTACAAGAGCCCAACAAAACAAGCCATGATGGGGAATTGTCAAAGAATTCATCTTGACGCACACCTTTGAGAATGAGAAACTGCCTTAATTGTTGGAAATTCATTCCCATGGCTTCAAACCTTCAGTGTTTATTTCTAATATAACTGTACATATCAGGGGTGTGCAGAAAATAGATTTGGATTTATTGATAAATCTCTGCACAATTTGGAAACGATCAGCAGTGATTTTTAACTCTTCAGTGTTTAAACATAGCATCAACCTCCACCTGTGCCATTATACTGGTAATTGAAGAAAATAAAACAACCAGGACAGGATTTTCATGTATCAATTAAGTTCTTGTACTCAGAGATGTTCCTGGACTCAGAATTATTTCATTTTGTATGTGGTTTTTGTGCCAGGCTCTGGTTGATGGATCTTGGTTTTTTTTTTTTTTTAAGTAACATAGTTCCTGCAAAACTGAAATGTGTCCACCCCTGGTATAGATTAACTATTAACAAATGTGCTGTGATGCTCTCATTTTTGTACCTATGTGCCAGGGTGATTTCTGACCCTACAATATATTGAAGCATGCATGTACTTCTAATGGGAAAATATTTCAACAGAGCAGTGCAGAGCAGTGGTGTGGTTACTCATGCATGTTAAAGATAGTGATGCATATGGAAATGCACATTTGTGCATGATGGTGAGAAGCTGCACAGATAAATAGACAAAACCCCACAGCAGCAGCAGCAGCAGCGGCTTCAATATGTGAGTGCCTTGACTCCGAAGAGTATAAATCAAAGATTTAACGTTAATTTAGTAGATTAACCCCAATCACCCAGTATTAGAGCCATGGAATATGGGGACTTATATGGATCTCTTCTGTACTGGCTGTTTGTAGTACATCATTCTAGGTCTATGGCAGAGATGAGAGCCCTGGCCTGTAAGCCAAATTCAGCCCCCAAGATGGCCCGTTTGGCTGTGGAGCCTCAGACAAGGCCTCTCCCTGCAGCTTTCCTGCCTTGGAGAAGGGAATCGTTGAGAGAGCAGCTCAGTTGCGATTGGAATGATGAGCAGGAGGTACAGCACTTGTACAGGCGCCCAGCACTCAGAGGACCAATCAGTCCGCTAGCCCTGCTCTGCAGTGTGCTGGCTCAGCCCATGTAGGCCAGGAGTGTCTTTAGAGACTTGTAGCAGTTGTCCAGGACTCCAGACAGGAGGGTTGTTTCAGCTGTACCTGGAGATGCCTGAGATTGAACCCGGGACTGTCTGTGCAAAGCATATGCTCTGTCACAGAGTGCAATCCCCTGTTACTCCTTTCCTGTGTGATGTGGGGAAGATGCATGTACTTGGCTTCAAGTTTCCTGCATTTTGGAATTGGGAAACTTGAGGGCAGGCTGCTCCACTGCCATGCATTCCAGCCATTCATGTAGTGTTCTGTCATGGAGATTGGAAGGGATCCCAGAGACCCAGAGTAGAAACTCATCTCAGCCGTACATGTTCTAAAGAGGGCTTCTGTGCAAGAGGTTTTCTCGAGGGGCCATTCTTTGGATTTTGGAGATCTTTGGAAGTGTCTGGCAGGCATAAAAAGAACATAGGGTAATGGAAAATGTATTTTCCTTATTGGAAACTAAGCCAAACAAGTATATTCATATCTCTTGTTTATCAGTGAAGTCGTATGCAGCCCAGCTAGGGACTTTAAACAAATCTCATGGAGCTTTCTTGGTTATTTCAATAGAGATCTATAGCAAACCCATAAACCCATCTTTATGAAGCCCAAACAGCAGCATCCCTGGAGACAGGGCAGGTATCAGCAGTTGTGGGGGAACCTTGCAAGGTTTGTAGAAATACAGCAAATGTATTTGACGGCGGAGGAAAGTCCTAAGGGGTCCCAAAACAACCCCCTCAGCAAAACTAGCATGCCCAGCAACCACAGACTTCTGACTGGGGATGGGCATGCAAGATGTGTTTGGAGGGTAGAAATGGTGCATCCTGGGAGAAGGTGCGGGTGACCAGCTGGAATCCTGAACAGGAGCCCTGCATATTGCAACATTTTGTATCAGGTCCTGCTGTAGCCACAACCACACTACTCGGGGCAAGTGGAGCTTTCCTTTCCTTGGTCCCCAGAACTGCTCCAGAGGTTCCTCTGGTTCTCCAGAGCAGATGTGGCGCACACAAGAGGAAGCTGTGGCATGGAGGCAAAATTGGTCCCAGGAGCATCCAGATACTTTGGACTTCGGCCCCCTTAATCCCAGACCACTAGACTATACTGCTGGGTCCTATTGGAGGTGTGGACCAAGCATCCAGGGGGCAGCAGTGGCTAACTCTGGGCTAGGCAAATTCTTGGAAACAAGTTGTAATGACAGCAGGGAAGAACAACTTGCAAAAAATGATGGCGTAATCCATAGCCATACCTGGTGTGTATATATACACATTCTGATCTTTCTGATAACAAATGTCTTTTTCTAGCTTCTGTTGAATTTAATAAGCATTTTAATGTTCCTGCAACAGAAAAATGTTAGGCTCACATACCTGATAGTGTTATATTTATTGTGTCGACAGTGCGCGTGTTATATAAATGATGAAAGCACTGTTGCACTTCCAGATGGAAAATTCATTTTTTAAACAAAGAATTTCCATGATAGCAGCATTTGAATGGTCTTGTGATGTTAGAAAAAGAAATGTGATGGCTGAAGAAAAGATGAAATGCAGTTCCATACCCCCAGTCCCAGATAGTTGTGTATCGGAGCAAATGACCAGGTTTGACTTTTCAGCTTTTCCAGTTTCTGTTCTAGTAACGAATGGGAGATTCGGTGTCTCTGAAGCATGCCAGATGAATCTGAAAACTGTGCATGGGCTGCGCCACCATTAGTGTTGCTCTTGGATTTGATACTGGAAGTTCGTTCCTCGTAGGTTTTCGTTTCTCACAGCTGTCTAAACAAGTGCATTTTCATTGGGTAAATTGCAGCACATGATGCTGTCCCGGGTGATGCACATGATGCTTTGCCTACTGTCAGAAGGGCTACCTGCCCTGGATCAGCACCACTGTAACAGCGATCCTTCCTAAACCTGTGCTGTAGCTGCCTGTGTTCTGGAAGTGCAGTACTCTTTGCAGCCATTCCTTTTCATTTCCTGTGTAATCAGAGTGCCTGGAAGTGTGGGTGCTGTGCAAAACCATAACCCCAGACTGGTGCTTTACGTAAACAGAGGGATTGCCTTGCTGGATTAGAACCTAGTTCATTTAGTTAAGCATTTTGTGTCCAACAATGTCTCTTCAGCCATGCCTTCTAAAGTGCATGAACAGTGCGCAAATGTCATATCTATTCCCAGTACCCGGTGCATAGAAATACAGGGGTTTTTTAATTCCATTGAAAAATGTTGATAGAGTCACTCCTGTGTATGTCACCAAGAAAAGATGGTGCCATACTGGAGACTGGAAAAATTAAGAGGTAGAGCAGGGTGGGAAATTCTCATTTTCTTATGCCACCTTCGTTCATATTATGATGCATGATATTTATCAGATCTTGGAGACTTCAGAGGGGACTCTCCAGGAAATGGTAATTACCAGATACACTTTGGAAAAGTACATTTAGAATAAATGCATGCCATGTAAATGAAGAGAAAAGCCACTTAAAGCAAATGCTTTACTATGCAATATAGCAATCTGCTGTTAACTAAGCTAGAAGTAAGTATCTTATTTTTGTGTGTATGTGTGTTAAGGGAAAATTATTCAGGCCTGCTTAAGTGGAAAGAGTTAACGTGCAGTGTCACTGCTTGGGCATGTACCTGCTTCTTTCCAAGGGACATGATTACATTCCTCCACCAAGTATTGTGAAGAAAAACTGAAATACTTGAAAAAGGCCACAGTCTTACTTGCACCTACCTGGGAGCAAGCCCCACTGACTTTCAGTGGGACTTACTTCTGAGTAGACAGGTATAGGATTGCATTGTAAATTGCTTAGAAATGTATTTGCAAATACTTCAATAGTAATTCAGAGTATGAGAAAAATACAGATTTGTACCAAAAATGCTTCTGTTGCGTAGGACAAAATTACATCCTTAAACATTTTCCTCAGATCTAGTGATGATTGAAGCATTTTGTTTTGAAAAGGAAGCCAAGATATGTCAAGGAAAAACACTGGGAAGAAATATTCTCTGAGCAACCAGCATTAAAGCAATGCCAGGCGGTCCCACTATAGTAAATGCAATGCTAACTGTCTGTTAGAGGCTCTGCTTCTGCCAAATGGTGGCATCTGTCAAACCTTGGTGGAAGTAGAGGCCTCAGGCTGCATCAACACTGCCAGAATATGCTAAGCCAAGATTCTGTTTAAAGGTTATGTCTTGTACTGGGAAGGGTGACAGGAGAAGCCCAGCTTAGGCCAATGATGCAAAGAATTTTCTCAAGCAGAATTCTGTAATTCGGGTCTCTGATACACAAACCATACTCGCAGTTCCTGCATATCGCTCTTACCTAAATCATCTAACATTACAGACCATGGGAACGGAGTCTTCTTCATATGTATGCAGTTGCCTTTTTTGAAATGCTCTTGTGATATTCACGTGCTGGTAACTGTTTCTATCATCTCTGTGTCTGGATGCTACAGCATTACTTTTCCCCAACTATCCCTTTTAAATGTTCCTCCTCCCCAAAATCGGCTGGAGTCCCTTTGTCTGAAAAGATCAAATCCCAACTCTGCATGTTTTTGCCTTGCTGCATTTGGCTCCATGGTTTAGAGGCAATTTTGTCATCATTTTAGTACTATTCTCAGGGCAATCAATATTTGTGTACTTGCATTATCTTTCCTACATGCATTAATACTTGTATTTGAATAGCAGTGTATTATATTTAAAAGCACTTAAACAAAACCCAACAAGATGCTGTACTTAGAAATAGTCATTTGGCAACTGAATGTCTATTGTAGAGCAATGTTTAAGGTTCAGTTTAGGAAAACTTTACATGGAAGATGTTACTGAGAAGAAAATGCAAGGATTGTTGATGTCTATAATACTGTATACAAATACAATTAATCAGAGGTTTACATTTAACTCTTAAACATCTTTTTTAACTTTTTTGGCAAACACGTGATGTGTAATGCTTTGCTTGTTCTACCAAACATGCATATAATTTTTAATAAAATTAAATGCATTTTTCAATGTTATGTGCTTTTTTGTGCTGTGTTTACACATTGCTATTTTCACAGATCATCAAGGCCTTCCTAGAATACTTTCATTTGGGGCATTCATGGATGTATTTTGACGAACAAATACAGAACGAAATGCTTATTGGGTAGTTAAGTGCACTCTGCAAATTTTTGGAGTGAATTTATATGCCTGATTGTAGAATTGCATAATATTAAATTAATTTAGGATGCTTCTATTTGGAGGCTGAGTTTAAAAGACCTGAAGCTGGACAGAGCTGGATCCTGTCAGGGGAGGGCAAGAACACCAGCCTGTCCTCCATTTGGTTAGCCTCTCACCAGCCCCGTCTCCATAGTGTCTGCCTCCGGTCTGGCCAACACTTTCGCTGGCTGACTTGGGCCTCTGCTTAGAGAAGAGGCAGAAGGTCCCTTGCTGCAAAGTGGAGGGAAACTCCTCCAAGGCCTGCCAGCTTTACCAGGGATGGATGCCCAACAGGGCTATATCTGCTGGCCTGGAATGGGGTGGTGACACCCCTGAAAGCAGGATAATACCAAAGAGAAATGGTGGCCAAGCAGCTCCAGCCACTTTGGAGAGGATGCAAGGGTAAAGGCTGCCAAATCTGTGTTTGGGGAAGGGGGCTTGCTGTTCCTTCACATGCCCTGTGCACGTGCAGGGGACGGTATGGGACCAAGTGTGCGGGCGTTCTAATGGGGGTCAATTAGTGTAGTGACAGGTATTGGTGGTGTTGGGGACATGGTGTGGGTAGAGGACCAGCCAGGTAAAGGGAATGTGGCCCAGATGGTTAATCATTGTGCCTTCTTCTGGTCCTCACATTTGCAGATATGGTGGTCACCCTATCAGCCTGCACTTTAAATACCAGACTGGTACACAAGAAGACCTCCCTCATCCAGTGGATGGGATGGTTGATCTGACACATATAACCAAAACCTGAGTGGGCGAACAGGGAGGAATTATCCTTTCCCAGCTCAGCCCACCGTGGTACTTGCTACAGCATCAAGGAAACTGGAGCAACGGAGTGAGTTGGTGAGGTCTATAGGATTTCTGTCTCTGGAAGCTCCCTGGCCACATCTGACTCCTAGTCTGGAATGCACCTTGCATTGGCCCAGCAGGATAGCGACCCTGCAGTCTTCCAGCCTGGATTAAAAGAGGTTGTCTTGGTTGTGATAGTGAGGCTGTCAGGCTGCTGGTCTTGGGGAATGTTAGGATCCACACTGAGGGCACCCTATCTGGGGTAGGCCAGGATTTTATGGCCTCCATGACAATCATGGGACTGTGTCAACAAGTCAATGTGTCCAATTCCTGTAGCAGGGAACACCTTGGATGTGTTCTTTTCAGCTGGGCATGGGTATTGTGACCTGAAGGTGGGGGACTTTGAGTCAGTCTGTCATAGTCAGATCACTGCCTGCTTTTCCCATCTGCAGCAATGGAGGACCTATTAAGATGATCAGCCCCTGGAAGTGGATGGGTCTGGATGGTTTCCAGAGGGATCTTGGGAGGGGTTCTGACTGCTGGTCCAGCCAAACCTCTGGGTGATATCTGGAATACAGTGACAATCTGGGCAGTTGTCACAATTGTTCCTGAGTGCCCTCTTTGTAGTAGAACTTTCCTGGCTCCATGGTATACCCCAAGCTGAGAGCAATGACACAATGCAGGAGGTGGCTTGAGTGTAAATGGAGGAGAACTTCTGGCTGGCTGCAATCAAGCTCTGGCATATGTCCATAGTCAGGTAGGCTTGGAGCCAGGAGAATGCCAGAGATTAACTCACTGTCTGTAGTCAATCCTGTCTTTTCCTCAGAACAGAGCTCTCCAGGCTCATCTAAGGCCTACTGCATGCTGGCTCCATGGACATATTAGAGCCATCTGAGGCTTGCGGCAATATATTTGCTAGGCACTTCCAGGGTACAATCTCTTGCATCTACCAGGATGCAAACTCCAATGTTATCACAGGCGAATCAAGCAAGACATCTGGAGCACAGCCTGGTTAAGCACCCACCCCCCAGGCCTGACCAGATGAATTCCAGTTAGTACAGCTTAAGGATGTTGACATGGTTCCTGGACAGATTCACACAGTCATGCTTGTACTGGATCCTTGTCCTCTTGGCTCATAAAAACTAGCAGGGAAGAACTTCTGGCTGGTTCAGGGAGGTGGTTGTTGTTGTTGTTGTTGTTGTTATTATAACATTTCTATGCCGCCCCTTGCCGAAACCTCCAATTAATGCCTCCATACAAGAAGGAGTGGTCCCATGCCACCTGAAAGAGGTGGAGAAGAGGCCACTGCTGAAGAAACCCTCTCTGGACTTAGAAGATCTTGATAATTTTAGGCCAGTGACAAGTTTGGGCAAGGTTCTTAGAGAAATGGTGACCAAGCAACTCCAGGCTCTTTTGGATGAGATTGGTTACCTGGATTCAGCAGGGATTCAGGTCAGATTTTGGCACTGAAACTTTAGGATGACCTACACAGCAGACAGATTGGGTAGTGTGACTGTTGGCACTCCTGGGTCTTTCAGCAGTTTTTGATGCCAACCATGGTATCCTTCTGGGGTGGCTGGCTGAGTTGAGAGTAGAGGGCACTTCATTTCAGTGGTTCCACTCCTGCTTGGATAGTCAGCTCCAGAAGGTGCTTGCGCGATGTTGCTCAGCCCCTTAGACTCACCAATATGGGGTCTCTTGGGGTTCAGTCTTGTCTCTCATGCTATTTAACATCTACATCAGCCTTCCCCAACCTTGTGCCTTCCAGGCATGTTTGCACTGCGATGCCCAGAATTCCCAGTCAATGGCCCTCCTGGATGGGAATTATGGGAACTGAGGTCCAAATGCCTCTGAGGGCCACCTGGATGGGAAAGACTGATCTACATGAAACTTCTGAGTGGGGTCCTCCATAGAATGGAGCTGTGTGTCATCAGTATGGTGATGACACATAGCTCTTTCCCCCTTTTCACCTTTAGTAGGTGAGGCCGTGGATGTGCCAAGTTGGTGCCTGGCTGCAATAATGGACTGGATGAGGGCTAACAAACCGAAGCTCAGTCCAGACTGAGATTTTGTTAGTGGGTGGTTCTTCTGATCAGATCAAAAGTATTCTAGATAGGGTCACTTTCCCGTGAAATAGACGGTTCATCACTTGGGCATATTCTTTGAGTCATCTTTGTCATTTGAGACCTAGCTGGCCTTAGTGGCACAGAGTGCCTTCCATCAGCTTCAGCTGGTTGCCCAGCTATGCCCTTGTCTGGGCTGTGACAGTCTGGCTTCAGTTTAGTGTGCCCTAAACTAGATGAGTAAAATGTATGGCTGTACTTGAAGGCTGTTCAGAAGCTGCAGTTTGGATCATAGACTTGAAGAATGGTTATGCTGATAGGTTTTCCAAGAATTCTGATTGATATGATTTGGTCAGACTTTGCACGATAGTCCCTTACTCTGTACTACATCTTGTTTCAGTATCAGAGCCATTCCATTTTTTGTGAGCTTGTCATTTCCAGAGAAAAATTCTTCATGTTTGTCTGGCTGAAAATATCCCATCCCATTCCACTCTAGTTCACTCACATCAAGTACTGCTATTTTTAACTACTCCATTTCTTGTTTTATGGTTTCCAGTTTGCCTTGATTCATATGTTCCACGTTCCACATATCAGTAGTATGTCTTGTGCAGCAATTGACTTTCAGCTTTGTGTGTGTCAGCCACTACATCTCCTTTCAGCTTTGATCTAGTTGTGTCATTAGCTACAGTGCTATTTGTACCTGTCCTCTGCTCTTCATCAGTAGCTGGTCAACTGCCTTCCAACCTGGGAGTCGCATCTTCTGGTACTATATATTGTTTCATTTTGAATTGTTTCATTGCAGGGTTTGCAAGGTAAGAAATACCCAGAACTAGTTTACCGTTATCTTTTCTGTGCAGCAGTAGCTTGAGAATCACTGCTGTTGTCTATGAAGGAGCCTTCACCAATGTCACCTTCAATGGCTCCTGCTACTCAGTAGCAGCCCTTCAGGAGTTTCTCTATCCCCATTGCCAGTGGTTTATCAGTCCTCTTCTGCTGATGTAGCTGTTACCCCTGAAGAGGAAGGATGCATCTTAGTCTGGTGTCACGGCATTGGCCATTTCACCTTGGATGACCCTACTAGGAAATCAGGCTAGGTAGAGAGCCTGGCTTCCTGGTCACATTGCTCCTGGCTTCTCTGACACTCATAGGCCCACCTGTTTTCATTAAAGCAGAGTAAACTACTGTAGCTTTTAAATTTTTTGGTTTCAATTTGGCTTTTAACATTTTGTATTGTACTTTTGATGATGCTAAGGAAAGTTGAAGGCAGAAGAAGGACAGGAAGACCACACAAGGGATGGATTGAATCCATAAAGGAAGCCACAACCTTGAATTTAGAACAGTTAAGCAGGGATGTCATGAACAGGACATTTTAGAGGACTTTCCTTCATAGGGTTGACATAAATCTGAGACAACAGCACATAACAGCAATAATTTTGATGATGTTTTTATTGTTATTTGCATTGTTGCAGTTTATGTGCTGTAAACTGCCCAGAGAGCTTCAGCTGAAGTGGCAGAGTCCTGTAGTGCTAGAAAAAGCTGCACTGGTAGTAAGTTAGCATGGAAATCTGCAAACATATCTCCACCCAATGAAAGTAGTCTTCACTTTCAGCCATTTATCAGGAGTTGGGCATGTGAAAATGTTCACAGAGTTACAAATGTTCTGTTGATGTAGCCACCTGGCCCATGCGCATGACAATGTCCTTTTCCCTCCAGCAGAGGCTGATGGATTTTTAAAGATTTATTTTTTGGCCTTCAGTAATGTTACCACATAACCATATCTGACTGGCCAGGTGTTACCATGATGTCTTTGTTCCCAGTGTGTGATCCCTAATTGGCTGTGACCACACAGGGAGCATAATGACCCTGATCAGCCACCAAAAGTTGGGCAGGGGGGGTGGGGGGGGAGTTAACAACAGGATATCTGGGATCATGCCCTCCAAAACCTTCTTTTTTTGCTCCAAG